CGGTATTTTCTGTATTTCAGAATACCGGTATACCGTGCTTTGGTAATTACCGTTGTTACTGAAAATACCGTTCCACGGTAATACCGAAAATACCGAGGTGCGGTAATTACCTAAAATACCGTACCTATGTAATTACCGAAAATACCAAGTTGCGGTAATTACTGAAAATACCGAAGTGCGGTAAATACCAAAAATACCTAACCTATGTAATTACCAAAAATACCGTACCTAGCCACTTAGCTCTTAGGACCTAGGTAATTACCAAAAATACAATACCTACCTACATTTATTTTTCATTATTTTTATGTAATCTGATAATTATAATGACATAATGCCATAAGACGTATTGTCTTATTATAATGAAAAAATCATAAACAGCTAGATAACCGACCATAATTTGTTATTGAAGCCGTGTACTCCTCCCGTCCGCTCCGGACCTAACCTATAAACTAATGGACATCGTCGAGACAGACGGGATTATTGAGAGAGTAAAGAAACAAAGTAGTCCGCACCTCGGTATTTTCGGTAATTACCGGAGTACGGTATTTTCGATAATTACCRCATCTCRGTATTTTCGGTAATTAGCGCATAACCGGTAATACCGTAGTTACCGRTAGTAAACAAATACCGGATACCGGTATCAGAATTTCGAATACCGCCAGCCCTACTTTAAACRCTTGAGGTACTCCCTAATCTTGAAATTTTAATTAGTAGGTTAAATAATATATGAGTTATTTATTTGTACAATTAAAAAAATATATTACCAAGGTATCTGATAAATTTTGATTTTTTGAATAATATTCATTATCTAATGTTTATTTATAATATTAAGTACCTATTTAAATAGGTAATATGACATAAATAATGTAAGATTCGTATTTCCCTACGAAATAAATTTACAATCTTGTATCAATTTTAGTTACGGACTAAGATAAAATGTTTTAGTCCGTGGTTTTAGCCAAACTTTTGAAACTAAATTAATAAATTATATTATCAAATTCAATTTTGAATATGGGTACCAAATATGATTTTTCATCTGGGCGCWWATTATAGTTAGCAAAATTCTGACACAATATACCTATTATTAGGTACCTATATGCTATATACGGACTTAATTATTAATTGTTTATGTTACAGGCATTAGAAAAGCAGTTAAATATTCATTTTCGAAATTGCCAAGGACTCGACATGGTGGAAGAAAGTATTAAAAAAATCAAACAAACAGTATTTCACGCAGATTCCACATTTCACGAAATACATAATCGGATCCATTTTATGACGCAACATAAAATAACTGTACCTAAACCATTACAAAAACATTTTATTCCCAAAATAACATAAATATAATAAGTTTAATCTAAAAAATTTTACAGCCGCCAAATTATCAATTAAACTACTTCAAAGATATACAGAATAATTGGCAGAATTTGTACAAAGATGCATTAAGACGGAACTTATGTTTTGAAAATGCAAAATTGGGTCTTGTTACAATTAACAGCTTATAAAATATGTTATAATGTGTTTATATACCTATATAATATTTAGTCTTATATGTGATATGTATAAATATATTATTTACATACAATTGAACATAAGTATAAATGTATTATTTATTTTGGAAAACAAGATTCACTATCATATATGCTATTACAGTGAAATAAAACCATTAAATATTAACTTTTTAGAAACAGATTTTTATGTAGGTAATCAAAACATATTCACTAAAGGAAAAMTGCGCATTTTTTTAATATATAGGCTATAATAAATATGCTCGAGTAATGAATCAACAGTAATAATAATGTTGTTAATTTTCCATTAATCATATAATGACAAAATGTGATAGGTAGGTAGGTACATTAATAATTACAACTTTTTTTAATTCTTAGTACTTGGAAACTCGATCAAGTACTTAACAATTATTAAATACCTACTTAAATCAATTGTCTAGTAAGTATCAATTAAATAACTGATATTTTTAATTAATGWTGTTTATTGACAATAATCTGCTTGAAAAATTACCAACATACAAGGAGCCTATTCTATTGTACAGGTAGAAACTAGATAGTAGGTACTTAACTGCAGGCTACTACGGAACTCAAAGGTTGGCTGCAAGTTAATAAAAATAATTAATTCAAGTTAAGTTAGGAAAATACAAGATCTATAAGTTATAGAAGTTAACATCAAAAACAACAGTCACAGTCAACAGCATGTACCTA